GACGAGGACTGGAGAGCGAAGACGAGGAAAGCAGGAGCACAAAGTCGTCGACGCCCCAGACCTCAGAACGACAACCATCGGCGACAACCATGGGCAGGGCATGTGATGTCAAAACTGTTTGTTGTCGGTCGTTCGAAAAGGAGTGTTTCACTTTATTTGGGGAATCGGATTACATGCATACAGACATGCATGCATACATACATATATACACACATATGTACATATATATACCTATATCTATATATAGTACGCACATACATGCATACATACACGCATACATACAGTCATACGTTGATACGTGCACGCATACATATATAACCATGCATGTTTATATGCGCCTACATAATTGTATACATGCATAGATGCATACACCCGCACACGCATGCATGCGTACACACATACATACATAAAATACATACATGCCTAGTTACGTACCTGTATACGCGCATACATACACACATGGATACATACGTATCATATATGCATACATGTATACATACATATATAAACATATATGTACATATATACAGACAGACAAACAGACAAAAATACATGCATTGATGCATACACACATACGTGCATCATGTATATGTACATGCTGCTTTACCTGCGTACATAGATACGAGAGAGCGCGCCCACAGCGACCGAGCAAAGGGGGGGGGGGGGGCTTGGCTCAGCCCCCCCCCTCTTTTTTGGCCCCCTCGTTGGAAGACCCCCCCTTCGTCCCGGCCCCGGAAGCCCCTCCCCCTCCCCCCCCCCAGAAGCTACCCTCCCTCCCCCTCCCCAGCCCGAAAAGGAGGGGGGCTTAACTACCCCACCCTCCCCCTGGGCGCCCTTGTTGGAAGCTACCACCCCCTCCCCCCCTTTTTCCGGCCCGCGAAGCTACCCCCCCCCCTGGCCGCCCAGAAGCTACCCCCCGGGGGTCAGCTGCCTCCCCCTCTTTTGAACGCCCTTGTTGGAAGCTACGAAACCTCCTTCAACCCCGCCCCCGTGAAACCGTAAACTGACGCGCGACCCCGCTGGGTCGCGCTTTCGACCTCGAACGCTATCGGCGGCGAGGGGCGAGCTCTAGTCGAGCCCCCGAGTAGAACTCAAGCCGACGCCGGTACTGCGCTCTGAACCTGGAACCCCTTTTGCCCGCGCGGTTCGTTCGCGTCCGCCGCCAAGGTGTAAACCTTTCCTGAAGACGCGTTAAACAAAAACAAACTTCAGATTCGTGCTCCCGAGACACGACCCCTCGCAAATTACTGCAAATTCGCGCTCACCGCCTTTACGATACCACCTCCACGATCGTGAACCTCCCTGGGAGCGCCTGGCGACCTTTGGGGCTGCCGCCCAGGGCCCAGGGTGCTTCTCGGCTACCCAGGACGTTCCGTGGCGATTTCGCGAAACCTTCCGGGGGGCGCCAAGGATACCTGGGAAGCGCCCGGGACTGCTGGGAAGCGCCTGGGAACGCCTGGGAGCGCTTGGGAGCGCCTGGGAGCGCCTGGGAACGCCTGGGAACGCTTGGACCGCCAGGGAGCGCCTGGGAACGCCTGGAAACGCCTGGGAGCGCCGGCGAACGCTTGGGAACGCCTGGGAGCGCCTGGGAGCGCTTGGGAACGCCTTGGAGACCTGGGGAACGCCTAGGGGAACGCTTGGGGGCGCTTGGGGGCGCTTGGGAGCGCTGGGGAACGCCCGGGAGCGCCTGGAAGCGCCCGGCTGCTCTGGGGAGCGCTTGAGAACGCTTGGGAGCGCCCGGGAGCGCCTCGAAGCGCCGGGGAACGCTGGGGAACGCTTGGAAAGGTTCGGGAGCTCCCGGGAATTCATGGGTGCGCCTGGGAGCGGCTGGGAACCCGTAGGAACGCTGGCGGGCGCCTTGGAGCGCCTGGGAGCGCCTGGTGGCGCCTTGCAGCGCCGGACAGCGCCTTGGGAATGGGGAGCGCCTGGGAGCGCCTGGGGGACCTGGGAGCGCCTGCGAGCGCCCAGGAGCGCCTGGGAGCGCCTGGGACCGCCTGGGAGCGCCTGAAGCGCCAGGGAACGCTTGGGAGTGCGGGAGGGCGCCTGGGAACACCTGGAAGAGCGCCTGGGATCACCGGGAGCCCCTGAGAAAGCAACCGCCGGGGTAAGCCTGGGAAACGCCTGGGGAACGCCTGGGAGCGCTCAGGGGCGATTGGGAGCGCCTGGAAGCGCCCGGGGGCGCTTGGGAGCGCCCACCGCCTGGGACCGCGTGGAACCCATGGAACACCTGACAGCGCCTGGGAGCGCTGGGGAACGCTTGGGAACGCCTGGGAGAGCGCTGGGGAGTGCTTGGGAACGCCTCGGAGCGCTTGCGAGCGCCTGGGGCGTTTGGGAGCGCTTGGGAGCGCTTGGGACCACTCGGTCAACGCCTGGGCGCGCCCAGTTGCACCAGGCAGGGCAACTAACTAAAACCCGCGCGCGCAGGCAAGGCAAAGCAGACACCTTAAACCTGCGCGCGCAGGCAAGGCGCCGCACATACCCAACGCAACCCTACTCCGGCGCGCGAAGGCAAGGTAATGCACGAACCTCAAGCCTGCGCTCACAGGCAAGACAACGCACGCGCCTTATACCTGCGCGCGCAGGCAAGGCAACGCACAAACCATAAACCTGCGCGCGCAGGCAAGGCAAAGCACAAGCATTGAACCTGCGCGCAAAGGCAAAAAAAAACGCGTGAACCAGAAAATGGCGCGCGCAGGCAAGGCAACGCACAAACCTTTTACCTGCCCGCGCAGGCAAAGCAAAGCACAAGAGTCACGGCGGCCATTCGCCGTATGCGGCCCGGGAAGCGCCCTCCATCTCTTGCGCGGCGAGCGAGGGGGGCGCCGGCCTGCGGGCGCCGATCGGCACGATGACCGCGTCGCGCCCACGCCCTTCGTCATCCGCCCCATCGCTGATGTCAGCGGTGACAGCGCCGTCGTTGAGAAGGCGAAAACCCACCCCCACCCCCAGTCCCGACGCCCACCCCCGAGCCCGCGATCTGGGGGGTCGGGACTGGGGGTGGGGGTGGGTTTTCTCCATTCCTGGACCCCGAAAACCCACCCCCACCCCCAATCCCGACCTCCCGGATCGAGGGTTCGGAAATGGGGCCGGGACTGGGGGTGGGGGCTGGTTCTCGCCTTCTCAGTCGTTGGCGTGGAACAAATTCATCCCGTCATGACTGGAACAGTCCTCCTGACTGAGCGAAGGAAAGCCCGCGGCCGCTGCTGCTGCTCCTGTCGTCCGCCGGGGCCGCGGGGCGGGGGGCAGGGCCAGGCGCCCTGGCGCTGATGGGAGGGACGGGGCCGCTTGCGCCGCATGGGCGGCAGAAGGGGGAGGCACGGGCTGCGAAGCGACTAAATGCGCGCGACATGGCGGGGTCCTGCCCGTGACCGGGCGGGCGCCAGGCCTCGCAGGGCCGGCCCGGGCGAAGGCCCTCAACGTCATCCTGCGCGGGGGGCCGGCCCCAGGTCGCGGCCCCGAAGCCAGCCCTTGACTGCGACGGGGGGCGATTCCGGGCCGCCGCTTCCACGCCCCCGCAGCAAGACGCGGGGTTGGTGTCGCGCGCAGCCTC